TTGCATTCTGAGAACTCATGAAACTGAACCGGATCTGAGAATAGTGGTCTTAACGCACGTGTCCCTAGATTTGTTTGGCGGGGCCTCCCTGAAAGGGTTGGGAGTGCTAGACAGTGAACCCCTCATCTGGCATCAAGCACATGGGTGCCTTTGAGGGGCCCTTCGGAGATCCCAAGTTCAGCAACTTGGCCTCAGCTGAGCTCTTGCATCCATCTCTGCCCCTTCCCAGCCCCAGGCTCGCTGCTGCTGTCAGCCAGTCCCTTTATATTCAGTGTAGAGGGCACTTCGCACATTGACAAACATCTGACCTGCCCTAGGCAGGCACAGCGCACAAGCCTCTCTTCACAGTCACCCAGCAAGTAGTGGGAGGGCTGAGTCTCCTGAATCCCCGTGGGCTAGAGGGTCCATTTGTCCCTATTTCATGGTTGAAGAAGAGGTGACAGGAAACGTGCCCACTGGATCCAGGCTTTGGGGTTAGCACCTTGGCTCTCCGTGTACCATCTTTTATTTTTATATTTATTTATTTGAGAGAGAGTCTCACTCAGTTGCCCTGAGTAGAGTGCCATGGTGTCATCATAGCTCACTGAAACATCAAACTCTCGGGCTCCAGAGATCCTTTTGTCTCAGCTTCCCGAGTAGCTTGGACTACAGGTGCCGACATACTCTGCCTGGCTAGTTTTTCTATTTTTAGTAGTGATGGAGTCTTGCTCTTGCTCAGGCTGGTCTCGAATTCCTGAGCTCAAGCAATCCATCCTGCTCGTAGGATTGCAGGCGTGAGCCACTGCGCCCAGCCTCTGTGTACCATCTTTTATTTTATTATTATCATTATTTTTTTTTGAGACAGAGTCTCCCTCGGTAGAGTGCCATAGTGTCACAGCTCACAGCAACCTCTAACTCTTGGGCTTAAGTGTTTCTCTTGCCTCAACCTCCCAAGTAGCTGGGACTACAGCCACCCACCGCAACTTCCAGCTATTTTTGTTGTTGTTGTTGTTGCAGTTGTCATTGTTATTTAGCAGGCTTGGGGCGGGTTCAAACCCACTAGCCCTGGTGTATGTGGCGATGCCCTAACCACTGAGCATGGGTGCCAAACCATGGGTATCATCTTTTAGACCTCAAGAAACTATTTTGGGCCATGGTTTCCTCTGTCAGGCAGCGATCATAGGGTGCCTATCTCATGGGGTTTTGTGAGAAATAAATGAGTTAATATATGTAAAGAGCTTAGAACAAGGCCTAGCACGTGGGAAGTGCTCAATGAATGTTAGCTGCTATCCTTGTTATTACTCTCACACTGCCTCCCAGGATTGGGGTAAGGATTGATTAAAATGCTCCATCAGTAGAGGGGATCCTAGAAAGAGGTTTGCAAATTTGGAAGTAATAGAGAGGTGTAAATATTATTTAACACATCCTAGACTGGCAATACTGAACAGACTGTTCTAGGCTACTGAGCTAAGGACCAAAGGCCATTTTTAGGTAATTGAATAAAGGAAATATCTAGAAGATTCTGGGTATAAAATAGATGCATTTTAGAGAAGCCCCCAGGTAAGCTCTTTGGTGGCAACTGGTTGACATAGGTCACCATAGGCAGTGGAGTCCACTGTTCTCTTGGGATTGGGAATTGCTAGGATCACGGGGAGTTTGGACGAAGGGTGCAGAGGACTGTTTTCCAAGCACAAGATTTTAGGGGTGCACTTCAGAGGCCATCCTGGAGAATTTGACTTGCTGGAGAGCAGCTAGAGAACTCTGTGGCGCCAGAAGAGTAGAAAATGATGGAAGGGGAGGAAATAACAGCCAACGAGGGAGAAAGTGTGAGAGATGAGAACGTGCAGCTGGGCTGCTGACCTTGAGTGGATGCACATGTGCGTAGATGATTGGACAGGAAGATCTGGCTGCAAATAGAAATGCTCTCTCTTCCTATTAACTACTCAGCACAGATGATAGATTCATGGTGAGATAAACAGACTCAGATGCTGAAATAGAAAAAGTGGATGTAGCAGGAACCATTGAACCCAGAAAAGGGTGAGATCCAGAAATGAACAGCATCAGCAATGAGGGGGGCGGAGACAGAGAAATGGGAGGGGTATCTGAACGTGGAGGAGCACGGGATGGGCAAGGTGGGCTTGGAGGGAGCCTCAGCTGGCATCCTAACTCTTGGCCACATCTCATTCCTAAAACCATGGCAGGAAGGTCATTGAAAATTGGCAGCTGCTTCGGTTATCAGTAAGACTGCAGTCACTCCTTGTGGCCACTAGATGTCAAGAGCGCATCAATATGGCACTCTCTGGTCCACCCAGTTGTCTGCTAAGGAGCTTAGAGAAACGGGCCTACAAAATGGATGAAATCAGCAAGAAGGAGGTTTCTAGGCACTTAGGACAACTGAAAATCAGCAGGAGTGAGTGGGATAGATAGAAGGGGTCCTTCCACTAAGACGCACAAAAAAAAAAGTTGACTGCACTTTCTACTTGTGTGTCGTTTTGCAAGTATGGGAGGTTTTTAGGATGAAGGAAGGAGAAAGAAACGTGGAATAGAATCCATTTTTTCCTTCCACATTAGCTAAAGGTCTCCAGAGTTTGCAAGAATTTTCCTGAAGTCAAGTGAGTAAGTTTCAGGCTCTTAAATCCTCAACCCCAATCAGGGATCATGATGGCGACAGTCGTGGTGGTGGCGGCATCGCCTAATACTGACATGCTCTTACTATATGGAAGGTATTAGTCTCAGCACTTTACAAAAATCAGCTCCTTTAATCTTTACAATAAACCTATGAGGTAAGTGCCCTTATTAACCTTATTTTACAGATGAAAGAAGGTTAGAGAGGTTATGTGACCTTGTTCAAGGTCAGGATTCAGCCCAGACATTTGGGCTCACAGTCCATTTTCTTAGCCGCTATGATCTACAATACATGTTGCTCCTTTGACTCCTGCCTGGCCTATGGCAAAGGCAACTTTCTGAGCTATACATCAATGCTATGATTTAATAATAAAGTCACAGGAGAATTCCTCACTGTAATAAACTTACTTCACAATACCTCACATGAGCATGAGTAAGACAATAATTCCCATTATGCCGGTAATTCCCAATAATTACGCCAGTAATTCCCTCGAAGTTCCCTGATTTAAAGGGCCTGGTTAGGCAGGAGCGTATCCCATCCCCGTGGAAGCTTCTGCTCTGTAGCTGCTGTAATTACCAAACAACAGAAGAAGGAGCAAGGAAACAAGGATTGCAGAAATTTCTGTGTTTCTTAGCATAGAAAGATGATTGTAAACTTGATATTGCGAAAGAAAAATGTACTCTTACTTGGGGACGAGGAAAGAACATGTTGTTGTGATGGGACTGCCCAGCCTGCTCTCAGGCTGCCCAAGCTATCCGCTTCTGCTGAGAAAACAGGAATGAATTAAGGAAAACAGTCTGATATGGTAGAAAAAGTGGTAGATGAAAAATCAGAGACTGTATTTCTCATCTGGTTAAATATAAATGTATCATATGACCCTCCATTCCTCTCTTAAGTGTTTACCTAAGAAAAATGAGCACATGTACACAGATATTCATAGCAAGTTTATTCAAAATAACTGAAAGCTATAAGCATCCCAAGTAACCATGGGCGTATGACTAAATTGTGGCATAGCAGTACGATGGAAAACTTAGCCGTAAAAACAAACTTAGAATGCCTTCAGCATCATGGGTGAATCTCAGAAAAACCATACGGAGTGAAAGAGGGCAGACCCCAAAGAGTTTATACGCTATGATTCCTTGTAACTGGAACTTTACTATAACACGCAAAACTAATCCGTGGTGATAGGAGGCAAATTGGTTATTTTCTGAGTCTGAGATGGCGTTGGGGATTCAAAGGGGCATGAGGGATGTTTTTGGTGCTGTGAAAGTTCTGTATTTTTTTTTTTTTTTTGGACATAAGGTCTCACTTTGTTGTCCAGGCATGAGGGCAGAGGCACGATCATAGCTCACTGCAACCTCAAACTCCTGGGTTCAAGGGATCCTGCTATCTCGGCCTCCTTAGTAGCTGGGACTACAGGCGTGTGCTGCCATTGTGCCTGGCTAATTTTTTCTATTTTTATAGAGATGAGCCTTTACTATATTGCTCAGATGGGTCTTGAACTCCTGACCTCAAGCCATCCTTCCACCTCAGCCTCCCAAAGTGCTAGGGTTACAGATGTGAGCCACCATACCTGGCCAGAAGGATGCCCTTGTCATCCTAAACTGGGTGACTCTACCCTGATTATAGTGCTGGCAACATGGATGTAAAGTACAAAGAGTTTGCACTGATATTTTGCCCCCACCTGGGCCTCAGTTTCCCTGTTTGTCAGACTATGTGGTTGTTGAGTTAGATGATGTCTAGAATTTCTTCTGGCTGAAAACTTTCCCTTATTCTGACGACATCCAATTTTTATTATGGAAGCAGAGTAGCAGAGAGTTGTTTGTTTTTGTGGGAATTGTGTTTATAGGCAAGGACGAGTTTATTCCAGAGAGTGTAGAGTATCTATTAGGTTAGCTAATAATCCTCCTTTTGGGCGCACAGCCATTTTCAGGCCCCATTTACTTCAGAAAACAGCTGAGAAAATGTTGTGGGTGTAAGAAGGATGCTTCCTACAGAAGTCCCAGGAGGACGCGAGGAGGGGCTTTCCCACTGATGCTGGGAGAGGGGGCAGGGACGCAAGAGTCACGGCCAGCAGGGGTGGAGAGAGCTGAGGATGTCCAGGCTCACCTTCTCGCCTCGGAGGACCCCCGGAACTTGGGGGCTGTGATTACCTTTTTAACTTTCCTTTCTCACTAGCCCAGGCCTGGCACTTACTAAGAACGTAATGATGTTGATGACGACGATCATCATCATCATTTGCAGTCCTCAGAGAGTGTGTGTAAAAATAAAGAGATGCTCAGAGAATGTCCTGGGAAGAGGGTGGGGACAGTCTGCCTGGAGCGCAGAGCGTGGGAGGGGGCCTCGGTCCTGGGCCCCAGCAGGTTACTGACTTCGCGGACTCATGTGTCCCCAGGTCATGAAAACCTACCACATGTACCACGCGGAGAGCATCAGTGCGGAGAGCAAGCTCAAGGAGGCCGAGAAGCAGGAGGAGAAGCAGTTCAACAAGGCAGGCGACCTCAGCATGAACCTGCTCCGGCACGAGGACCGGCCTCAGCGCCGCAGCTCCGTGAAGAAGATCGAGAAGATGAAGGAGAAGGTGAGGGGGGCTGAGCCGGCAGTGCTGGGGGCTGGGCGCAAAGCCGGAAGGGTGGCCGCGCTCCTGGCTACAGCCTCGCCTTCCTGCTCGTTCCTCTGCACCCGGGGGCATGGGCATAGAAGGCAGTGTAGCTCCGTGTCACGGAGGAGGCAGGGCTGGTGGTGCCCCTGCCAGCACAGGCTAGGCCTGGCTAGCAGCAGGGGCAGCAGGTCGGAGGACACTTGAGAGCTGATCAGGACTGTGCCAGGATTCATAACCAGCAGGCAGGTTCTCAGGTGGGCAGGAATCACCAGGCATTAGTGGGGCAGAAGTTTGTTCCAGAGGCCAATTTGGTGGCTGAGGGCAGGGTATGGGGCACCCATGACTGAGTGTGTCCCAACAAGAGGAGTGGCACTGGGTCACCAGTCAGCATCTGGGAGCTGGGTAAAGGGCTCATTCCAGAAGGCCAGTGCCAACTGAAAGACAAAAGGCTTAGAGTCACTGTGTATCGGTGTTGGAAAGTCCTTTAGTAGGGCATGGTAGAAAGAGTTCTAGCTTTGGAGTCAGATGGGCTAATATTGAAAATACCACACTGTAACACCTTTCTGGGCTGGGCACCATGGCTCACACCTATAATCCCAGCACTATGGGAGGCCAGGACAGGCAGACAGCTTGAGCTCAGGAGTTTAAGACCAGCCTAAGCAAGAAAGACCTCTGTCTCTACTAAAAATAGAAAAACTAGCTGGGCATAGTGGCGGGTACCTATAGTTCCAGCTACTGGTTGGGGAGGAGGCTGAGGCAGGAGGATTGCTCAAGTCTAAGAGTTAGAGGTTGCTGTGAGCTACGATGATGCCATGGCACTCTACACAGGGTGACAGAGTGAGACTCTGTGTTTTAAAAAAAGCAAACCAAAACACCTCTCTGAGCCTCAGTTTTCAAATCTGGCAGGGATGGCAAATAAGTCTTATATCTCATATCAGCTCTGATTGATTGGTAGTGGTTGCCCAGAGCTCCGGGTTGAGGTTTATGAAGCCTTATCCAGGCTCAGTGAAAAACAGTGCCATGGGTATTTAATGACATCTGCTGTGGCCAGGGAATACCAAGTTATTTCTTGTCATCCTAAACTAGTTGACTTCTAAGTTTCCTTTCTCCTTACAAGGCTATGATTTCCTTGTTGAATTCTCTGTATTCCTTTGTTCCATGCAGTCAGCAAATGTTTTTGAGCACTTCCTATGGGCCAGACATGACACCAGATACTTATCTGGGCTAATTCTATGTTTATATGATCCTTTAGTTCTGAAAATCATAGGAAATTGGATGGGAACAAAACTTGACAAGACCTAGGTAAGCTGCAAAAGTAAACTAGACATAAATAAACTATAATTCCAGGGCACAGAAAACCACAGTAATCAGGCAGAGACCCAATTTAAAGAATTTGAATAGATATTTCTCAAAAACACAAGTGGCCAATAAGTACATGAAACAATTGTCTGCATCACTAGTTATTAAGGAACTGCAAGTCAAACTTTAATGGAACATGGCTTCACACTTACTAGGATGGCTAGACTAGAAAAGGCAGACAATAGCAGCTATTGGTGAGAATGTGGAGAAATTGGAACCTTCGTGTATTACTGGAGGGAACTGAAACTGGTTCTATCACTTTGCAAAACAAGCTGAAAGTTCCTCAAAATGTTAAATATTGGCCAAGTTCCCATGTGACACAATTCCATGCCCAGATATCTACCCAGGAGAATTTAAAATATATGTCCATATACAAACTTGGATGGGATGCTCACAGTAGCATTATCTAGGATAGCCAAAAGATGGAAGCAATTCAGATGTGGTGCATCCACACAGAGAAATAGTATACAGCCCTAAAAAGGAATGACGTACCAGCATATGCCACAACATGGATAAACCATACTCAGAAACGGTACACCAGTCGCAAAAGACTGTACATGTCTTTAAATTGTACAATTATGTTTATATGAAATACCCAAAATAGACAAATCCATACTTTCTTTCGTAGGTTGTTGGTTTCCAGAGGGCTGTAGAAGAGGAGAATGGGAGGTGACTGCTAACGGGTGAAGGATTTTTTTGGGGTGATGAAAATTATTCTGAATTTAGGTGGTGGTGATGGTTGTACAACTCTAGGTAAAAATAAACAGAAATAAAACAGCCAGCTAGAGAATGATAGGACTATGGTGTAGGAGGAAAGAGAGCGTGCTGGCTGGGAGTCTAGAGACCAATTTTTAGTTCAGAGTTCCATGTGCATTGGCGGCTTCACTTTTGGACAAGCCTCTCCTCTTCAATTTTCATTTTATTACTTATATAAAGATGAGTTCAACTAGGACACTTTCCAGGTATAAAATGTTATAAGTCTATGAAGGGCTAAAAAATGATCTCAGGGTCGTAGTGGGCCACTGGAAATGGACTGGGAGTATTTTAACTCCCTGTGGAGATTGGGTGTATGGCTAATATAGGATGTAACTGCCAGAAAACTGGAGAAAAGCCACAGGAGATCTCTGAAGAGAATTAAAAGGTTGACAACCAGTATACCTTTACTAAAAAGCCACAACTCTATGTGGAAAAGACCCTTTTATTGAGCAGTGGGACTTACCAGTCTGAAAGGCACCAGGACAGCTCTCCAACCCACTTTCTCTTCCCTCTTCCCTGCCCAGTCTGGGAGTAGCTCCCTGGGTGGCAGTGAGGCGTCTAGCCAGAACCTCTGGTGCCTCACCTGGCTCCCCACTTCTCACACCCAGACAGCCATTCTCCTGGCCTCTCTGCTGCCTGTCCTTCACTCAGCAAAAACCACAGGAACCTGCCCTTGTGCAGGGACTGTCCTGGGTGCTGCAGACCCAGCAAGAATGAGGCAGATCAAGTCCCTGACTTCATAGAGTTTGCTTTCTAGTAAACAAAGAGATAAAAAGTAAAATAAAATACAATGTCAAGTGGTGGGAAAGTGCTTATAAAAAAGTTACAGCTGGATAGGGAGAGAGAGGGAGGAAGAGCAGAAGTGGAGATTCTGGGGGTTCATTTTAGACAAGCTTGTTGTCAAAGGTCTGTCTGACCTGAAACCTTGGGTAAGGAACTACATGACGTGCAGGAGCAGGCTCCGTGGAGATTCGAGAGGATGGTCTGCAGGCCTTGAGGCAGGAATGAACTTGGCCTTCTAAGGGAGGGACAAAGGAGGTTGAGTGAGTGAGGGGGAGCTTGGAGGGAGATGGGCCTTGGGAGGTGGACAGGGGCCAGGTCATGGGGCTTCAGTGCCAGCAGCAGCAATATGGGAAGCCACCGGGGGTGTCAAGGAGGGATCTTATTTTTGGAGTAGAGACCAAGGCTGCAGCTTATCAAACAGTGGTTGGCTGCATCTACACAGCGTGCGGTGAGCTTCTTAAACCCAGGCTTCAAACCTTGCTTGCCTCGCGTATGGAGGTCTTCCACGGGTGTGGGTGTGGGGTCGAATGGCAGGCTGTTCCCATAAAGAAGATCACAAATCTTGCCCATAATTGGCTCGGCTCTTATATCTATCTACTCCTTCTTTTTCCAGAGGCAGGCAAAGTATTCTGAGAACAAGCTGAAATGCACAAAAGCCCGGAATGACTACTTGCTGAATCTGGCAGCCACCAATGCAGCTATAAGCAAATACTACATCCACGATGTCTCCGATCTAATCGATGTGAGTCTGGAACTGAACAGGCCAGTGCCTGGGCCAGCCTTCATCCTCAGCTGCACGCATGCTGGAGGGAAGGGGCAGTGAGCTTTTGTAGCCTAGAAAAGGAGTGTTACCTCATAAGTGGGAGGTGGGTCTCTGGGGGCCCCTACACAGTTGGCCTAGGCAGTCATACATTCCATGCCAACTTCCCACGTTCCCTCCTCTATGTCAGGTCCTTTTCTGGGTTTGAGGGGTCCAGGGGTAAATTGTACACATTCAATTCCTGCCTTGGGGAATTTCTCAGTGTGGCATAGGAGATATTAATATGTCCAGCGCCCCTGGGTCCGATCAGCTAGACACATGCACATGTGAAAGAAAACAGCGACCAAGACAGAATTCATGGCACGGCCTTATGCAGGAAGGTTATCTTGGGGGCAATTAGGCAGCTTACCCAAATGGAGGATGGGACACTGCCTCCCCAGCACCAGCTGGGCAGGACACGCTGTAGGCACAACCAGGCTTAAGAAAGAACACTGTGAGCTGTGGCGCTGGTGAGGGCTTCTGCGTTGGAGCCAGGGCTGTTTCTCTCCCATTCTGCTTCCTGCACAGATGGGGGATCTGGCCCATGGCCGCCTAGTAAAGCCTCAGTACTGGGCGATGGATCCATCTCCTGTTAGTCAGGAAGTCAGAGGACCACCGCTTTTCCTATGGCTGCAGGGGGAGGCCCATTGTCACCACCCAAAGCAGATTTTGACTTTCCCATTTGTTCTTTCAGCCCTTTCAGCCCTTCATTTGCAAAAGATTGATTGAGCACCTCTGTGTTCTAGGACTTGAGGTGTGGCAGAGGGCTGGAGCCGGTGGGTCTGTGCTCGTGGAGTTTATCTCATTGAGGACGTGGTCATAGGCAATTGCACTGCCACATGTCGGGGTCACAGTGAGGGAGATGGAGGGAAATGAGGCCCCCAGAGGAACATCTGACATAACCTCTGAGTGGGGAGAATATCTAGGAAGACTTCCTGGAGGCAGTGAGCTCGAAACTGAATCCTAAGGAAGACTCTTCCGGGCAGAGGGGGTGCATGTGTGCATGCCCAGAGATGAGATAGAACATGGTGCATTTGGGGAGCCTTGTTCTACTGTTGCCCAAATCTCAATCCCATCTCCCTCTGAGGACTTTGGTGTGGCTGTGTGATGGGAAAGTGTGCCAGGCCTCTAGGACAGAAGATGTGGCTGTGGAGCGGGGGGTGATCGTGAGTCACTGTGGTGGCCAGAGACCACCCCCTCCACGCCCCAGCTCTCATCGGCCCCTCTGCTGTCGCCCTCCCCCAGTGCTGTGATTTGGGCTTTCATGCCAGCCTGGCCCGCACCTTCCGGACCTACCTCTCAGCTGAATACAACCTGGAGACCTCCCGCCACGAGGGGCTGGACGTCATTGAGAATGCAGTGGACAACCTGGATTCCCGAAGTGACAAGCACACCGTCATGGACATGTGCAACCAGGTCTTCTGTCCTCCACTTAAGTTTGAGTTCCAGCCCCACATGGGGGATGAGGTAGGTTTCTCTCGGGAGCACATGCCTGCGGCTGCTTCCCTCTGTTCTCCCACATGCTCCAGGCTCAAGTCCCCCACCTGCAGGACTGCAGGACCTTGGCTTCTCTTAAAATCCTCCCAAGTAGGTATAGAAGACCCCAAGGGAGCCCCAGTCTGCACATAGTCTCACATTCTTCTCCTCACCACCTCCTCACAGCACCCTGACTGCCACCCTCTGCCAGGGCGTTGCCCTCCTCCCATACTCTGAGCCCTTGACATGTCCAGCAAGTGTGTTTCCTTCAGTACTTGTGGCACTCAGATCACGGTTCTATTCTAAAGAAAAAACAAATGGGGAGAAGGCCCGAAACAGCACAACTGGTCATCCAGTTCACAGAGTGTAATGAGTTCCTTGAACTTTTCTATGTCGCTCCTCTCACTGGGCATTAGGGGACCCAGACAGCAGTGTACGTGACCCAGCCTGCCTCTGAATCCCAGTGGGACCCAGCCGGGCCACTCATGCTTGGTGAGGAGGGGCAAGGGGCATCTGAGAAGATAGTGTTTGCTAGGCCCTCCGATGTTTCTGCCTGCTTTCCTCTGCAGGGTTGTATGCTCTTCCTTCCCCAATTCTCTGCCTTCAGATCCATCACCCTCTTGACCCATCACCTGGACCTGAACATGCTGGCCTCATGGCCTTGCTGGTGACCATGAAGTCTGGTTGCCTGGTTAGTGGCAGATAGCTAAGAGTGTCAGCAGTTCCCTCCTATCCTCTCCAGTCCTGGCTGTGTTCTGGAGGGGTGGGGCACTAAGGCGTCCCTCCCCAATGCAAAGGGGAGGGAGAATAGTATTTGTCTGGCTTCCTCCCCTCCTCCAGCCTTCACCCTGGGGAGGAAGAGCTGTGAGTATGGGGTACCTCACAGCTGCCTCTCTGCAGCGTCACCCTGCGGGGCAGTGGGAGCTGACGACTCCCCTCGTCCTTTCCATTGGCTTCTCTTAGGCTGTTGCTTTCTTGCCACAACTTCCTGCCTTGAAGTGAACCGATGAGGTTTGCTTATTGGGATTATGTGAAAGCTCTGTGTAAACCCTCAAGTGCTGCACAAATGTAGGAGATTATGACTGAGAGTCTATACCTGGCAATGTCAGGAGGGTAGGGAAGACGCTGATTCCCATTGGTGTTGGTTGCCATGGCCATGTTTGAGCCGCATGACCTTGGGCAGGTGACTTAACCTTTCTGAGCCTGTTTCTTTGGCTGTAGAAAGGGATGTTAATGATAACCTGTGCCCCCCCTCCACCAGGGGGAGGGGAGCACTGGGCAGTTGACAGGTGGTGGTTGTCATTTCTACAGGTGTGCCAGGTCAGCGCTCAACAGCCTGTCCAGACAGAATTGCTCATGCGATACCACCAGCTGCAGTCCAGACTGGCCACTCTCAAGATAGAGAATGAGGAGGTGAGTGAGCCCCTCTGCCCCGTAAGGCTGTGGTGCCCAAACCCTGTACAGTAGCAGTCTATGGCCTGTTAGGAACCAGGCCACCCGGCAGGCCACACAGCAGGAGGTGAGGGTGGGAGAGCAAGCAAGAGGAACTTCATGTGTATTTACAGCCATGCCCCATTGCTTGCTTCACTGCTTGAGCTCTGCCTCCCACCCCAATCCATGGAAAAATTGTCTTCCACGAAACTGGTCCCTGGTCCTGGAAAGGCTGGGGACCGGTGCTATAAGAGACTGCCTTATGAAGGCCTGGCTTGTCCTGAGGAGTCTGCTGGCCATGGAACACATACGAAGTGATGGTTCATCTATGAGATGGAATATTACAGAAGCTTTAAAACCACACCCACTAAGCATCTCTAATCACCTGGAGGACTGCTCGTAAGATGTTAAGTTAAAGAGAGACAGAGAGGAAGGAGGACTCTAGGTTCCATATGGTCATAACTAGGGTAAACTAAAATGTATGCGTATATTCCTGGGCATAGACAAAGGACTAGGGGAAAATGCTTCAAAACATTAGTAGTATGTCTGGATTGTGGAATTATAGGTGGTTTCTGTTTACTTCTTTATGATTTTTTTTCTGTTTTATGCAGTGATTTTGATACGGAAGATGCCAAAAAATGCATACACATTTTACGAAAGGTAAAAACTGTGTTGAAATTGTAATATTCCATATATGCCAATAACAGAAGATGAGTACAGGTCACGCTGATCACCCCTTGTAATTGCAGAAGCCAAACGTGACTTGAGTATTACAAATTTCGTATAGTTTTTGCCTTTCTTAAGGTGTGTATACATGTTTTTGGCACCCTCTGTATTTATTATCAAATAAAACAGTAAGTGTTCTAAATTATCCAATGAAATAAACAACCCAGGGCACACTAAACACATCAGGATCCTGAGCTGCCAGGGATGGGGCAGTCTTCCCACACCCAGTGCACCTTCTGTGCAGCCGAGTGGCACAGGGTCACCCCTAGGAGGGTTCAAGTAGAAATACCAGCTGTGGAGGCTCCATTCTGGTGTGAGCTGAAGAGGCCAGATGGTTGTTTCAACCTGAACACCTCCCTCCAAAGGGAACATCAACCAAGCAGAGGCCCCTGGAGAAAGGACACCAGGACATGGCAGTGTCACCTGAGGCTGTGGGCAGGTTTATCCTTGAAAGCACGATCAGGGAAGGAGGTGGGAAGACATGGTCCTGGGCTTCAGATCTCAAGAGGGCTGTCCTGGGCAGAGAGGCCAGGTTTGCTTCGTGAGTCCACAAAGGACAGACCTAGGACGAATGTGAGACAGATTGTAGCTCAGGATGATAACAGATCAAAGTCGTCCCTGGGGGGAGGTTATATGGAGACAAATTATATATTTGTTTTTCAAGCCTGGCGAGAGACAGGAGATGAATAGAGTGTTTTTCTTTCTTTCTTCCGCCCTACATCTTCCCCAAAGGACTTGAAATTGTTTACATGGAACACTATATGGATCATAATGTTAATGGAATTTTAATTGGAAATCAGAGCCAAAGAAAGGAGAATAAAGGAAATGTCCCTCTGGGTGGGCTGAGAATGGGCATGGGTGTGCTTAATTTTGAACCTGAACTTCCCATCAGGCTATGTTAGAAACAAAAGTTAGATTTCATTTATTCATATACTTATTCTACAAGTATTTATTCACATATGTGTAATATTTATTCAGGTATTTATAGAGCACATATTATGTACCGAGCATCGTTCTAGATAGAGAATAAAATGAGATTAAGGTGAAGAGGTGCAAAAACACAGTTCTTCGTCTCACGGAGGGTGTACATATACTCTATGGAGAAAAGGCAGAAAAAAATCAAAACCAAAAAACAAACCAACCAATAAATGAATGAGCATGGAAAGTATGAGACAGTGCCAGGCACTAGGTGAAGGCCTCAGGAGGTGATGTTTAAGCTGAGATCTAGGTGACAAGAAAGAGACTTTGAGTGACAATAGTTTTACAACAAATGAAGATCCAAGTTTTCCCATGACTGTTTTTGAAGGGACCCGCCATCAAAGTAAAGGGTCTGCAATTTAGTCATAATCCAGCAAAGGGGTGTTGAGAGGGTGCAGCCCGTGCAGCCCCTGGTGGTCCCACACAACTCCAGGGGATAAGTGGGAGTCCTAATGAAATGGCGTGTGCCTCCGTGATGTATTCCTGGAGTTTCCCTTTGCTTAGCCCGGCCTTTGACAGAAGTGTCATAGCAGAGCGCGTTCCTTCACTAAGGATGACTGTCCATCATTACCCAGGCTTGTCCCTTCCCTTCTCTGAATGAGGGGAACTAGTGTGGTCCCTACTTGAGTGACTGAGGAATGTCCCATTGGAGGAGCTAGTTTGGGGCTGTGTAATCTGGCCAAGACAAACCAACCTAGAAACCCAAGTTCCTCCTTCGTTCATTACAACATGCTTCAAGCTTCTCTCTGGCAGAAGCAATACAATAAATGACCTTACTTTGGGTATCCCAGCTTCACATCCTAGCCAGCTGTGCGACCTTAGGCCAGGGACTAATTTGCCTTACTTTCCATGTCAATGTAGTGGGAAAGATGATCTTTGTTCTGCCTGTCTTAGTCTAGATGTCTAAGACTTTATATGGAAGACACAAAATGACCGTTGGGAAAAGGACTTTGAAGAGTCAAAGGCAGAATGAGAACGCAAGACTTCTGTTGATATGCTGTTTTTCCTCCAGGTTAGGAAAACCCTGGATGCCACCATGCAGACCTTACAGGACATGCTGACCGTGGAGGACTTTGATGTCTCCGACGCCTTCCAACACAGTCGATCTACAGAGTCCGTGAAGTCGGCTGCCTCTGAGACCTACATGAGCAAGATCAACATTGCCAAAAGGAGGGCCAACCAACAGGAAACAGAGATGTTTTATTTTACAGTAAGCGGCTTCCTGGACCCAGAACCCACTGTGTGCTGAAATGCAGAAAGTGAATTGCCAATGGGTAGCACTGGCATTAATCTTGGGTGACAGTTACTGAAATTTTCCTGCTCTAGGAAAAAAAGAGAGAGAGAGAGAAAGTCTTACTCTGTTGGGTGAGAAGAAAGTGCTAACAGGACTGTCAGGTGTTTAAAGTTATGAGTATAGATTATTGTGTTCCATTTTCTTAAATTTAGATGTGGGTTTTGGAAACAATACCCTCAGTAATCCGAGCAAATGCTCTTGAATCACTAGTTCTTCAAATAAAGTCTCATGTTACTTACCTTTCATTTGGCTAGGGACAGGGAGGGGGAAGGAGAGGGGGAATTTAGGTTTTAGTTCAACTTGTGTTTATTGAAAATAGGATATTAATTTTGTAAGGGACTTTAACTCTTCATCTGATGCTATTGTGTCCAACCGTATCCCTGCCAAGAGGTCACCCAGACTCTGCTTGAGTGCCCCTCAGGATTAAAAACTCCCTCCTTCCCCAAACAACCCTTTTGTTTGGGTTGTGGCTGGCTTCGGGCATTAGAATGTTTTCCTTTAACTTGTTTAATCTTCAGCAATCTACCTCACTAGGATTTCTGATCTTGGTTCTGTTCTTTGGGGACTCCCAGACCAAGGCTAATTCTAGATGACAGTCTTTCATATGGTTGCAGGGACCTGGGTTTTCATTTATCCAAGCTAAATGTATCTGATTCTTTCAGTCCTGCCTTGGAAACTTTTGTGTTGAGCAGGCTCCTTTCCTGGTGACTTTCTCCTAAGAATGTTCCATTTTATTGGTGGCTCTTCTAAAGTGAGACTCTCAGCAGTGGTCTGGCCAGCATAGAATAGAGCAGCAAAATGTTCACCCCTTCTACACCAGGTACTGTGCACCTATTCATGTTCTGAGATCACATTCTCCTTAAAATAATATTAAATGTACGTTAACATCAGTTAAATCTCTCTTTCCTACATGTTGCCATTACCCAGGCCTCCCTCCTCCTAAGGCTTGGTAGGTGATATCACGGGGAGGTCTTAGGATTCAGTTCATTGTTACAGATTGTCAACATCCTGATCCAGTTCTTCAGATCTATGTCATCTGCAGATTCAGTGAGCATACTTTTGTGGGTTTTTTTGCAGTTTTTGGCCTTGGCCGGGTTTGAACCCACCACCTCTGGTATATGGGGCTGGCACCCTACTCCTTTGAGCCACAGGCACCGCCCGAGCATTACTTTTTACTTTCAAGTTTATTAAGAAAAAACAAACAAGGAACAAATATGCCAGGGCAAAGGCCAAAGACAGCGTTGTTAAAAATATACACTAGGCAGATGCAATGAGGCTGATACCGATTGGATCGTGGTTGTGTAACCCGTCACGGGTTCACCCAATTCTAGCATCTAACTTCATCTTGTGATAGGCCTTGTCAAATCTCTTGTCAAAAACCAATAGCTGACATGCAGTGCGTTTCTTCCATCAATACTCTTTGACCTTGTCAAGAAAGAAAATAAAGCTGAGCTTAGTGAATCAGCCCATGTCAATTCCTGACATTCACCACTTCCACTGGGGGGCCTACTGTGTTCACAAAGAGAGTTTGTGTATCACAAAGATTAGTGAGGAGTGCCATGAATACTAATTTCCTTCGTCAGTAGAAGCAAAAAAATTCTGGGCAGCAGAATCAGAGAAGGGGGTCTCACCCGCTTGAATTAAGAAACTTCTCCAGCATCTCTGACCAAGGGTCATAAGATTTTATATTTTATTCTTACAATACTCAGTTTGCTAACGTGGTTGGGTAGTATACTTGCTCATGACTTGATGTTGTGACATTATTTTAGGTCTTCTTAAAGACGTAATATTCCTTTTAAAGCAAACATCAATACAATTTGACAGCTTTTTTTCTTTTGTGGGCCCCATGGGTGAAGCTTGGAAGACAGTTCTTGAGCCACAGAGCCTGGCTGCAGTTTGCACTAACCAGTGGCTAACCCACCAAGGTGTGAGCCACGTGCTTGGGATTGTGAAGCATGTGGACAAAATACCTGCCTACACTTCAACTCTGCTTTTCACGGTAGATCCATAGACATGTGAACAAATCAGATAAACTCAGGTGACAGTAGTTGACCAAACTGAAGCCTGAGCTGAAGTGTCCAGGAAGCTTGTTGAAATGTAGGTTCTCAGACCATCAACCGTCCTAAGTTGGGCCCCTGGAATTTTGACCACTTCTGAGGCTCTGGGTTTCCTCCTCAGGTATAAGTGAGGGGTCAGACTTGAGGTATTCTAGAATAGGAATAATCTGCCCAAGATCACAGCAGGAGTGACCACAGTGCTGAGCTTCTGTTTCCTTCTGGGGAGAACAGAACTGATGACGCTTCCCCTATTTGTCATCCAAGATTGTGATGAGGCTCAAATGTACATGTCTGAAAACTGTCGCATGTTCTACAGATGCAAAGGGCACTGACTCTCCATGGCTAGGGGCCAGTCCTAGGAGCTAAGGACCATGGAAATGTAGAGAAGACACCACATTCTCCCACTAGCCCATCATTCCAGAAACCCATTCCTGGGCCAGTGTGACGTGATCCCCGTCTTCCTTGTGTATATGTCAGCCCCCACCCCACAGCCTTTCCTCTATACCTACCTTCAACAGGAAGATGCTTACAGTAGAGACTCTCCCCTATCGTCAGACTGTGGCTGCCCTGGCGCGGCAGCTCACTCTGCCCCGTCTGAGCTTGCCAGCTGCAGCAATGGAGCGGATTTCTTTGTGAGAAACTAGCTGGTAGATGTGTGGCAGTCTGTTTGTCTCCTTGACATCATTCTTAAAGCTTCTGTAATTGCTGTGGCCTCTGTTTGCAAAGCTCCTTCCTACGGGTACCTACACGCCCCCTTCCCACCACCTCCAGGCCTTGGCTTACAGGTCCACTTTGCAGTGAGGTCTTCTTGGATTCCTGATCCACTGTTCCTGCTTTATTTTTATCCGTGGTCTTCACTACCTGGCAATGTGGTATTTCACTTATTTTGTTCCTTTACTCTCTCTCTCCACCCTGATTCCTAAGGCGCACGAGAGCAGGGCTCCAGCTGAACTTCTCAGCACCTGCTCTCAGGGGGTCCAGACATGCACTGAGTGTGGGTCCCATTCTCCAGCACTTATGTCCAGCACATGCATGTCCCAACAGGGCGCTGGCACTGGTGCAGGTGATGGGATGCAGTCAGGAAAGCTGGTACCTGTGTGGAGGAATGGCTGGGCCTCAGGCCGCACTGTGGGCAGGTAGATGTCCTTCTGTCCTAGATGACTTTCTGTCCCTGAGTAGTGCTCTAGGGCAAGACCCTGGAACTAGGAGGCAGGCTGAAGCCAGTCCTGGCCCCTGAATGGCTTTCTGTGGGACCCTGGGCAGATCACTTCCCTGTGCCAGCTTCTCATGTCTCATCTTCACAGGTCACAAAGAAGAAAATCATATCACCCCTCGCAGCTTTGGTTATTTTAACAGGATGCCTTTTAGTCGTCTGTGTGGAGTGTCCTCCTCTAGAATGGGGCCAGAAGAAAGGAAGGCTTGTTCCAAGGCTCCTCTCTGACACATCTAATAAAGCTCTCTGGCCTCAGCTGTGTGACCCCTGGGACAGTTCTCCTTTGGCAGAAAAGCACAATCCCTCTTTAATGACAAAAGAAGCCCATTGCTTTGTGCTCCCTGCAGCCCTTACCTGATGAAGGCGGCCTTCTCAGCTCCCATTCTCCTGGGCCCCTGTGTGTGCCCAAACCCTGACATGAAAGGCCTGGAGCCCCCTGAGGCAGCCCCAGGGCAGGGCTGGGGACCTGAATGGAGAAGGGCACAGGCGCAGGTGCACAGGCTCCCTCTTCCTATGCCCGCTGCCCACAGGACCTCCCTCTGGCCTCCCTGTCCTAGAGGTCCCAGGACCTGGCCCCATGATCTGTGATTCTCCTGTGCCTTGTGCCTTACAGAAATTCAAAGAATACGTGAATGGCAGTAACCTCATCACCAAGCTGCAGGCCAAGCACGACCTCCTCAAGCAGACCCTGGGCGAAGGTGAGTCGGGCCATGGAGGCGCAGGGGGTGGGGGCGCTGTGCTCCCCACTGGGTTTTCCTGTGGCCCCTCAAGTTGTTGAGCTGATTAAGCTTGAGACACTGTCCCTGGCAGAATGAATCCTGGTACTGGACCCCCACACCCACCCCAAGACTGAGCAGGTTGGGAAAATCTCCTTGGTACAGATGCGGAGAGGGGTCTAGTCTAGCTGGAAAGAGAGGGCAACCACAAGCCCCAGATCCTGCTGTGGGGGAGAGTCCAAGGCAGTGGCAGAGGGGCAGGTATTGATGGGGCTGAGCAAATTTCTGTTCTTCAAAACTCCCCCAGCTTATTCCTGCCCCAGGAACTTTGCATGTGTGTGTATAGCCACACCCAAATCAGGGTATAGAGCTTTTCATTCACCCTCAGAAATTCCCTCTTCACAGTCGGTTCCCACATTCTCTACCCCAAAGCACCACTCATCTGATTTCTATCACTACAGTTTAGTTTTCTGGGTTCTAGCTGGTAAGAGGTGGGGAGCTTTGGGGGTGATGAAATTAAATGTTCTAAGTCCTGCTTTGGGGTAGTAGTTATACGTGGGGGTACTCATTTGTCAAAACTCATTAATTAGGGGGTAAGGGTGGGGAAGAGTTAGTTGCAGTGAGCTTTTCTTTCATTCCTCCACTCTGAGTTCTACTCATCCTGGCAGTTGAGTATTGGGCCAGGGCAGGAGGGGGTGGCTAGGAGTGTGGGAAGCAAAACAGCAGGAATGGAGGGGAAAGGGGAGACCCAGGAGGTCCAAGAGGGGAGCACAGGGTGTGTGCGATGGAGGTAGCTTCCAAGACCAGCATTAAGGAGGAGGATTAGTTTTGACAGGCTGGGGCTGGTGGCTCTTTCCCAGGAGCCATGTAACAAAAACGGGCTGTATGGTTTGATGGCTGCTTGTATTTTTGAAATCATATACCCTGAATTTAGAAAAGTAGATGTTCTTTTACAAAATAAGATCCTGGATGAGTCTTCTGACTGGAAGGAGAAAGCTGCTGCTGCTTTGTGAGTACGAATCAGATGCAGCCTTTTATCACTGTCCTTGCTTGGATAGCCTTAATGAAATAACATTAATAATAATACTTTGTTTTGGTTGACATACTTCCTGGCTTGTTTGATCCTCCAAGTTTATTAAGCCTTCAACTATACCTTGCTCCAGTCCCTCTTCTGGGTCTTGAGCTGATTAGCAAACAGAAACTCCAGGGAAATGCAGCTTCAGAATTATAAGATTACAAGGGCAGCTAAGAAAGAACCATCTAGAAGGCTCTCCATAACCCTGTTTTCTAGTAATCTCATAAGAGAAAAGCCCACTGGGATGGGTCTTGATAGTCTGATCAGTTCTACAGAAGTCATTCTAAATTTACAGAAATGTTGGGAAGACAGTATTGAGTTCCCATTACTCCACATCTACGTTCCCTGGTTATTAATATTTAGATTAGTATATTTGTCATCACTAATGAATATTAATACAGTGTTATTACTGGAAGTTGATAGATTATTGAATGACCAAAAACTTGGAAGCTGAGTAAAATGAGACCACATCTCCAGCCATTTTTGTATATTTACTGTATGATAAAGATATACAGTATGCGGATTCTTAGGGTATTGGCTGAAAGGGGAGAATTGGCAACCAGGAGAACGTGCAGACTTAATTGGTAAAGCTCTTGCCCACTGGGTAAAGTTAGAATGGAAAAATTCACCAGGCCAAAGGGAACTTTGGAATCTTAGCTAATTTAGTCTTCCTGGTGTCAACTGATGATTCACCTCTACCCCAGGCATTTAGTAGCATTCTCTTCTAAAAGTAGGGTAGGGTTACACCTGCATCAGTGGTCTTTTTTATGTCATCCGAAGGCTATATTGTATTGGGGAAGATGATCTGGAAGGTTTGAAAACAAGTGAGAAATATGGGGTTGGCAGAATATTTTGTCTGAAAAGATACAAGGCCTTCCTTCTTTTTAAAGAAATGAAGTATCCATGTCTAGGGCCTTAGTTTCTCTCCAGTACAGTAGTGTCCCCTCATCTGTGGTTTTATTTTCTGACGTTTCAGTTACCTGTAGTCAACTGCAGTTTCAAATGGAAAATTCCAGAAATAACTCATGGTTTTAAATTGTACACCATACTTTGTAACGTGACGAAATCTCCAGCCATCCCTCTCCACCTCCGCCAAAATGTGAATCCTCCCTTTGTCCAGAGTTTCCACACTGTAAATGTTCCCTGCCCATTAGTCACTTAGTAGCTTTGGTTATCAGTACGCACAGAATTTAGTGCTGTTTAGTTTCAGGCATCCAGTGGCGGTCTCAGAACATATCCCTCAAGGATACAGGACACTACTGTACTCCTTTGACAGCATGGCCCAAAGAAACTATGAGTTACAGGAAACAACAAGGTCTTTGGGGTCACCTGCACTTAGATGTGAATTTCTGAATGTGACTGACCCCAACGCACAGGTCTTACTCTTCAGACACATGAGGCTTCTGGGTGCTCTGCAAATTGGCATTCCTTGTTATAAATTCCCTGTTACAAATGGCATACCTTGTTACACAGGCACAACTTGGGAGCAAGATCTGCCCTTGGCTGTTGGGTTGTTGTTTTATTGGCCAGAGAATTCCTGGTTGATCATCATCTCTGAGTCTTAGATCTATGACCTTTTTACTGCTCTGGGGTTTGAGTAGTCTGCAAGCACCAGGGTTTACACCCAGAATGTGGATAGTTTTTCAATTTACCAAAGCCCCTCAAGGATGAATGAATAGTGTACTGTCTATAAAGGGATGGGATATAACCTTTTCAGGGCCAAGATTTAATAGCCTATTATAGAGCAAAGTGGCCACCAGGACCAGACAGTCTGACCTTCTAGAAAATGACTGTGCCACTAGCTATAAAATACTGTTTTTACAATCCCAACAGGTCTCAGGAGGTAAAGGACAGGGCAATTTTTGGATTTCGGATATTTGTTAGAAGCTCAGACACCCTGTTCCAGGAGATGTTGGTAATGGGATTCTTGAGAGCTAGAATGTGAGTCTGAAGCTGACATATATTAGATTCCATGTCAGAGGAAAGTGTTCTGACATTCAACTCCACATCCTAAGCGTTTTGATTCTTATCTGCCCACTCTTCCCTCCTCACCCCATCTGCCCATCCATCTATTTAAAAGCACAGACATTGTGCTCAGCCAGGCCTAGGGAGACAGTGACAGATAAAGTCTCTGTCCTCGTGGAGAATAGAGACCTCAGTGGTAATCAACAGCTAAGTAAAGACTTACAATTGTGATATGTGCTATGAATTAAAAATTTGGGGCTGAGACAGGGAACAATTGTATACATGGAGTTAGGATGAGAAGACTGCTTTAGATGGGGTGATCCCTAGGCCTCCTGGGGAAGGTGCTGTTTCAGCTGAGACTAAAGGATGACAAGGTGACAGCCACCTGAAAAACTGGGAGAAAGAGTGCTGAGCAGAGGGGACAGCATTCAAAAAGGTGAGGAAGGATATGGTGAGTTAAAAGAACTAAAGGAAGGGTGATGTAACTGGATCATAGTGAGTCCATAGAAGACAGGGCAGTTTGAGAACCTAGGGGTGAGCAGGAAACACCTTCTGAAAGCCCAGCCTGTGAGGAGGGTCACAGATGACTGTAGCTGTAGGGAGAAGATGAACTTGACCAGGGGTCCTCAGACTTTTTAAACAGGGTGCCAGTTCATTGTCTCTTAGACTGTTGGAGGGCTGGACTGCGGGTCCCAGGATGAGTCGGCTGCTAAGCAGGACAGGCAGCGGTGGTAAAAACCCCGGGCAGGCCAGATAAATGTCCTAGGCGGGCTGCATGTGGTCCGTGGGCCGTAGTTTGAGGATGCCTGCACTTGACATTCAACCCTCTCCTCCACTAGAACTCCAGGCCACTGCTTGGCCCCTTTCCTAGGCTGCTGTCAGCTCTAACAGAAGGTCTTGGGTCCACATGAAAATTTCACCCTGATGTCTGGTAGGAATTTACCCCAGATCCAGACCTGCAATCAAACTAAGCAGAACAAATTTTCCTGTTTTACCAAACTTTTCTCCCTTTTGCCTCCCCTTTCTCCCTCTTTGGCTCCAGTTCAACCAGCTGCAGTCACTCTTGTAACTGTTTGTGGATTTGGTTGGGCTCAAAGTTCTATTTTCAGACCTCAGGTTACTCTCTTCCTCCCCTCATTTGCCTCCCTGGCCCCATCATGCATTGTTTTCTGTAGAGTCCCCTAAATTTAATGGCGGTCAGGATGACAGAGCTAGAGCTGTGCTGTCCAGTGTGACACGTGCAAAACAGATACCAGGATTCAGGGACCTAGAAAAGAATATGAAGTGGCCTATTCGTTTTTATTTTTTTTTTTTTTTTTTTTTTTTTTTTTTTTTTTTT